ATGGCCAGGACCTTTCTGAGGCCACTCGAAAATTCCTTTTCAATGCAAGAGCTTAAGAAACAATAAAAACTATCTTTTTAGAATTAACAATGAGAAGGAAGCAATGAAATTGGATTAAGAAGAGTGAGCCTGGCTGGTGTGGCTCATTGGCTGAGCATCAACCCATGCACCAAGAGGTCACCAGTTCGATTCCTGGTCAGGGCACATGCCCAGGTTGTGGGCCAAATCCCCAGTGGGGGCATGCAGGAGGTGGCCAATCAATGTTCTCTCTCATCAATGTTTCTCTCTCTCCCTCTCTCTCTAAAAATCAATGAAGAAAAAAATAATTAAAAATAAATAAATGAAAAAGAAGAGTGAAAATTTCATCTACTCAGGATTTATCAACTTTTTTTTATTAACTTCAATAACAGTTTTCTTTAAAGTTAAACAAACAAACAAATATATATAATGAGATTGTCACTCTCAGGTACAAATCCTGCACTTCCACAAACCTGAAAGGGAGTGCCTCTTTAGATTTTTTGCACCCTAAGTTCTTGCTTCACCTGTATCCCTGGTGGGTTCTGCATCCTTCCACCCTTCCACAAAGATAACCACTTTTTATTACTTTGTTGTATTCCCTTGCCTCAGCAGAAGTTTTATGTAAGAAGGCTAAAAGTAGAAAGTTGCTTGCAAGATAGTACTCACTTCCTTTCCTCTTTTTATTTTTTAATACTTTACCAGTACTTTTCTTTTTTCTTTTTCCCCTTCCTTCCTTCCTTCCTTCCTTCCTTCCTTCCTTCCTTCCTTCCTTCTTCCTTAATGCTTAGAGAGAGGGAGAGAAATATTGACTGAACTCGCAACCTTCTGGCACAGGACGACACTTAACCAACTGAACCACTCTGGCCAGGCCCTCTTTTCTTTTAATACAGAGTTCACTAGAGTTTATGACAAGCATCTTTGTGAGCAACAAGAAGAAAATATACTTCTCTTTTCAGAGCAATTTCACAGCAGAATGATAAATTTCCTCAAAATTTATAGTCTTAAAATAGGAGACTGATGCAAGAGAGCGACTCGGAGCTCTTGGCAGCACTTCAAGAAACTGGCCAGATTTTAGAGGGGATGGCCATGTGGTAAACCTAGACAGAGGCTTTGGGGTTCATAGCCTCAACCAAGTTTCCAGGCCATAGTTTATTAATTGTATGCCTGGAAAAAGCTGTCAGACTTCCAGAGACCACTATGACCCTGAACAATACAGGTGTTAGCATAAACCTGAAGGAACTAGAGACTCTTTCGGTTTCCCTAGCACCATATAAAGCCTGGATGGAGAGGGGAGCCCTTGATATTAATGAAAATTTATTTTTTTGCCACCCTGACAGAATGAGAACTTTGAGGCTCATAGATTTTTTTAAACCTATTTTTTACTTATTTTTTCTTTATTGATTTTATTTATTAAATGGACCTTTTTCCCTTTTTTTTGTTCAGATAGAGTGGGAGGGAGAGAGAGGAAGAGAAAGAGAGAGAGAGAAACATCGACGTGAAAGGGACACATCGAGTGGCTGCCATCCGCATGACCCAACCAGGGCCAGGGACAAACTGCAACCGAGGTACATGCCCTTAGCAGGAACCAAACCTGGGTCTCTCAGGACTGCAGGCTGCCGCTCTAACCGCTGAGCAAAACCGGCCAGGGCTCTTTAATGATTTTAAAGAGAGAGGAAAGGAGAGAGATAGAAACATCAATGAGAGAGAACATTGATTAGCCGTCTCCTGCATGACCCCCACTGGGGATTTGGCCCACAACATGGGCATGTGCCCTGACCAGGAATAGAACCTGAAACCTCTTGGTGCATGGGTTGATGTTCAATTATTGAGTCACACCAGCTGGGCAAGGCTCTTAGATTTTTTTAAAACAATAAAGAAATTATTATTTATATACACTTGAGGTTTTTCTTTCAAATGTTTTTATTTGGAAAATAATTTCAAATGAAGCTGCAAAAATTAAAATAATATAAACAATACCCATCTGTCCTTCACCCAGATTCACCTATTGTTAACATTTTCTATTTTCTTTATTTACTAGTCATATAACTATATATTCACATGTATATTTATATAGTATATATTTATGTATATATGTGTATGTACACAAAATTTTCTTGAAACATTTGAGGATAAGATATACCATGATGCCAAAATATTAAGTATATTAGGACCAAGAGATAGATTCTCTTTCATAACCAGTTAGGGTGCCAGATTTAGCAAATAAAAATACAAGACACCCTGTGAAAACTCGAACAGAAATTAAAGCTTCTGACTGGGAAAATTATTGTACTCCCCCTTCTGGACACACTTAAACACTGTTCTTGTATTTGATGAATACTGGGTCTCCTTGGTTACCCTTCAATTTCTAAGCAATAAATAAGCTGAAAACACTAGGCAAGGTTTCTGGTAACCAGTTTGTGTCTGTCATGATGCTGATAAAAGTGAGGGCTGGTTGGCACTGGTATTGAATTAAAACTTGTATTTCTCCTGTCTTTTATACTTGCCCTATATAATTCCACCCCGTGAAAGTTGTTATTTAAGTGGTGTTTCTTAAAACTGTATTGAGTAAGAATCATTATGAAAACCACTGCTTATCAAATTTCATATGCATAAGTCATTATTGGATCTTGTTAAAATGTAGATTCTGACTCAGAAGAACTGAGATGGGGCCTGAAATTTTGTATTTTTTTCTTTTTAATCCTCCCCTGAGGATATTTTTCCATTGATTTTCAGATAGAGTGGAAGGGAGGGAGGGGGGAGAGGGGGAGAGGGAGAGAGAGCGAGAGAGAACGAGCAACATCAATGTGAGAGAGATACATCAATTGGTTGCCTCCTGCACAACCCCGACTAGGTCTGGGAACCAAACCCCAACCAAGGTACATGCCCTTGACAGGAATCGAACCCAGGACTCTTTGGTCTGCGGGCTGAGCCAAACCGGCCAGAGCTGAAATTCTGTATTTCTTAATAAGCTCCCAGAGGACACAAATATACTGGTCAAATCACACTTTGAGTAGCAAGATTACGGTCCCCTATGTCACAATCAATAGGTATTTGTCAAATATGTAAGTATCTAGGCCCAATACTGATGTACTGATTCAATCTCTGGGGCAGTGTCCAAGAACATACATTTTAAACAAACTCCTAGGGAGATTTGAGAACCAGTGTTCTATGGGTTTAAAATGTTTTTTCTACTTAGTAATTTTTCTCCCTCAAAGCCCAGTGCTGGTCTCTCCTGCTTTGTTGCTTTTATTGACCTCAGGCTCTGAATTCTTTAACAGTTGTCTGCAGGAAGCATTTGCTGTTTATCATGGGCTATCTTTTCTTGCATAGATCCTGACTCCCCAGACAGATTTTATCTTTATTTTTTAATGAACAATTATGTTATATACTTCCTTGTAGCCTCAGTTCCTAGCATAATGCTTAACATAGAGTAAATGTTCGATTAATGCTTGTCGTGGACAATAACAGTGATGGTGGTGCATGATGAATCTCCAGCACATGGTTGTTTCCCAGGCCTTGAGTGATTAAAAGAACCTGCTGGCTCCATTAAAGGAAACACCCAACTGCTGAGCAAAAACTAACTCCAAACGATGGTAAGTTATTTTTCAGGAACTGACACTATGGTCCTTTTGTACCTTGGTAGTTTGGTTTTTATTATGGTAAATGGCACTTGAAAGGAAAGAGAGTAATACTTTAAATTATGTCTTTTATCTATGAACCTCAAAGCACTCTAAAGCCATTTATTAAAGTTACTGTAGCCATGGTGTAAATATTATTACACTCACCTTAACAAAAAAGAAAAAGAAAAAAAAGCTGACTAGGGGAAGAGTTGTAGATACTTGATCAAAATTATAGAGCCATTGTAAAAAGGCTAAGAAACGCAGGCAGGAGAGTGGCAGGTGAGCACTCCTCCGCGCCGCCCAGACCTCAAGCTGGGGGACTCGAAAGAGGGCCATCCCACAGAAGGGGCCAAAATACTACATTTAACATTATTTCAATAGTCTTTCTCCTTATTCTGTATCCCTACTGCCACTGCTCTTGGTATCTCGCTCATGACGCTTAGGCGTTGTTACTTATGGTTAAATACAGACCCATCTTCCCTCCTTCACAATTTCCTTGTCAACTTTTCAGTCTCCTGTTCTCCCTACCTCCTCGTCCGCTGCAGCAGCAGAGCAAAAAGAACCGCCAGCTGAGGAGATCTGAAACCAGGTTGGAACCCCGATTCCATCCCTTACAAGCTCCGCTTCTGAGAACGTCGGTTCGCTCTCGGAAAGGCAGTTTCCTCTTTGTGTGTGACATGGGGACGATCGCGCCCACCTACCTCCCTGGAAGGTTGAAGCGATAGACGCAACTCGTAAACTGGAAAGCACTGAGTGGATACCAGCTGTTCCCTTACTGAATCAGTCCTCATTTAATTTAATTTAAGCCCAGGGCCACACGGAATAGTGTAACAGGTTCAGAGAATGTCCCCAGGGACCAGCCTCGAGGTAGGTTTTTCTTTGAGGAACGAGAGGCGCGGATCTGCTGGGAGTCGTAGTCCTTGCGGCCGTCTCCACGGACCTCGGGGGAAGAAAAGAACTACAAGTCCCGTAAGGCCGTGCGCGGCAGCCCCGCGCACCCTGCCGCCAGGCGCGTGCCCCAAGCTGAAACTGGAGAGCGGCCTGCGCGCACGCCCGTACCTGCCTAATGCACGTTGAGGTGGGGAGCTCGTGGTAGCCGGTCGAAAATAAGAGACGCGTGGGAGTGTGTGGGGACTGTAACTAGAACAAGACTCGTGGCAAAAGCCCACTAGAATAATAAAAAGAGCCGTGCTTCATTTCTCCACCACCCTGGCGGACCCTAACAAGCTACTGCTGAGACCACGGGAGCGCGCTCACCAGCTTGCGCTTCACCGCCCCCCACACCCCGTCTTAAATTAGCAGGGGCGGGGCCATCGGCGTGGGGGCGGGGCCTAAGGTAGCCAGGGCGGCGGCGGCAGCGGCTGCGGCCGCGGCCAAAACCCAGGCATCTGGGACTGTTGTTGTTCCCTCCTGGCGCGACCGCCCCAGTTCCTTAGCTCAGAGAGAGACCTGGAGCTGGTGTGAGGAGTGGGCGGCCGCAACCTCCTCTGTCCCGCTTCCCGAAGCTGCGGCAGAAACGGGCGCAAACATCCTGCGGTTGGTCTCTGATGCCCTTCAGTGAGGAGGGGGCGTCGGGACCCTGGTGAGCGCACCTCAGGCTCCCCCAACTCGGCGTCTTCATCTGCCCTCTTGGCCCGCAAATCCCAGTGTGCCTGCCATGGCTGAAAACGCAGAGGGGGACCTGAACTCCAACCTGCTCCACACCCCCTACCACACCGGGGACCCTCAGCTAGACACAGCCATCGGGCAGTGGCTCCGTTGGGATAAGGTGGGTACCTGGTCAGGCCGGCATCGCCCCTGTCTCCCGCACACCCTCCCACACACCGTCTGCCTCTTCCTGTCCCCACCCGGTGCTCGGCAGGCTGCAGAGGAGATGGCTCAGGCCACCAGGAGGGAGCAGCGGGGACGGGCGTTGCCACCCACCTATGCCCGGGTTGCCACCCGGGGACCGTCGGAGCTGGGCAGTGACGCCGGTAGTCGCTTCCTTTTGCAGGGAACGCTATTGCAACCTCCCTTCCTTCCACCCCCCTTCCTCCAGGTGCATGTCATCTCTCTCTTAATGATAATATTATTAGTATTAGTATTACTCATCATCGTCGTACGTTGTATCCGTCATAGAGCTATTTCCTTTCCGCTTTCTTTTCCCTTGACTTCCTTCTCTAAACCTAAAAGTGGTTTCTGTCACCATTCTTGGACGTTTCTAACCGCTATCTGCTTTAGTTCTGGTCGGTGTGTTTCCATCTTCCGTCGCTAGGTAGTCGCTGGTTTTTTACCACTCCCTGGTATTCTCTAGTATCACCTTTTGCTTTTGAAAAAGGCAAGGTTTCTCTTACCTCCTTCTTTCCCTTGCCGGGAATTATTTCCTGGAAGTATCCTGTTCAAACAATTGTATTTTCCAGATATTTATATAATGGGCCTGACTGACACAGAATTGTTTTTGCTTTACCCATTCCTCCTTTATTTCCCCCCACCCCCTCCAAGTTTTGCGGTGATTTCATCTTGTGCAGGCATGTGGGATGGATCTGTGAGAGCAGAATTAAAATGCAGCTATCTCACTTGTAAAAGAGGCCCCTGGTGGCTCCAACAAAGGAAGATGATCCAAGCTTTTGCTTTGTCAAATGCACTAAATGCATTTGTTAAAGTCGAGAAGGCAGTGTTTAAAATGGAATTCAAATACTGAAAGAATTCGTGTGGTAGTATGTGAAATCATGTTGTACAAATAATTTCCCGAAAGATTCGCGTTGTGAAAAGTTTTATTTTCACTTTGTTAAGTCATTCATGCATTCAGGAAAAAAAAAATGTTTATTGAGCCCTGGCCGAGTGGCTTGATTGGTTGGAGCATAGTCCCTTACACCAAAAGGTGGCAGGTTCCATCCACCATTAAGGCATATACCTAGGTTGTGGATTCAATCCCTGGTTGGGTGTGTGTGTATGGATAGGAGGCAACGACTGGTGTCTCTCTCTCTCTCTCTCTCTCTCTCTCTCTCTCTCTCTCTCTCCCTCCCTCTCTCTCTCCCCCTCCCTTCCTCTCTCTCTAAAATCAATAAAAACATATCCTCGGGTGGGAATTAAAACACACACACACACTCTTAAAAATTTTTTTTATTGAGCAGTAGGTTATGTCTATTGGTGAGGAAGACAGAAAAGGGTTCCTGCCTCAACAAGCCTTCAGTTAGCAAATAAGAAAGACCAACAAATAAACAATCATGGATTAGTTAGCATTACTTGGTCATATGCACCTTGGTCATTCTCATTCTTCCTCTGGAGTCTAAATCAGTGCTTCTCAAACCTTGAGGTGCTTACAGGTCACCAGGGCATCTTAAAATGCAGATTCTGATTTAGGAAGCCTGGGGAAGGGCCTGAGATTCTGCCTCAGAATAAGCTCCCAGGTGATACCAATATTGCTGGTCTGTGAACCGCACTTTGAGTATAGCAAGACTCAAAAGCAGCGATTTTCAACTGGTGTGCTGCAAGAATTTTTAAAACATGCAATACCTGACTAATTAGGGGCACTGTCCTTTTTTCCCTTAGATTGTCAGATTTAGAAAAATGACAACAGCCAACACAACAATAGCCGTCCAATGTGAATGAATAAAAATTACACCTGTTTTTTGGTCAGATTGTCAAAAAATATCATATGTTTTTAGTGTGCTGCATAATTTTAGTAATTAGCTTATGTGTGCTCTGAGATGAAAAAGGTTGAAAATTCCTGCTCTAGAGTGTTCTGTTTGAAATAAACTAGGGAACCAACTCTACTATTGTAGGCTTTGGTTACATATATATGTATGTATTTAATCAAGTGTACAAAATCTGTGGTATCCCATTCATTAACATAAGGATGTGCCTTTAAAGCCATTTTGCCTGTATTTATTAAACACCTGCTATGAATATAGTTCCTTGCTGTGGAAGGATACAAAAGAAGTGAAGACTCAAAGATTCCTTTTCTGCTTTTAGTCCATTAGGGAGGAGGAAACCTAACAGAAATAAAAGAGCTAACGCTTAGCATACAGTAAAATGATATATACTACAAACTGACTATATAAATGTCTTCAATAGGGAAAACTAACTAAATTACAAATGAATGTTATCCTTATGTTTAATACAGTTATTTGTTTTTGTTTAAAGTCATCCGCTTTCATTGGTATTGTCAGTAAATGAATGTCATTACACTTAGGTCTCCCTAAAGTAAAAGGAAAATTTATGAAATTCAAAGACAATTGTAGAATTCTAACACAATTTAATTTATTGGTAACTATTATGTATGTCAAAGCCTTTGGCCCTTCAACAACAGGAGTTTGTTTTTCGTTGAGATGGATGAAATCTTTTGTTCTCTTTAGATGCCGGTTTTGAGTATACTTTTCTTAATGAATCTCATTTATTTTCATTTTTAAAGATTGATTGTCTGTGCTGTGCCTACATATTGTTGGAAATTCTGAAATATAAAAAGACTATAAAATGCGTATAAACATAAAAAGATAATACTAGAGTAGTTTTGGTGGCAATTAAATGGTTTATAGACAGTTATTTAAAAAATTCAAAAGTAAGAGCGACTGGGATGATCAAAGAAGACTTTCTAAGAAGATGGACTACATATAAACAGAATGAGGAGAGCCAGTCTTCTTTGAAAGTGGAAGAGAAAATCTTAATATATATTTAAAGTGCCTTCTATATACAAAGCATTAGCTGAAAACCTGTGGGAAATACAAAGATGAAACAGATATGGATCATATCTTTAAAGAACATATAAGGGAAGATCAAACAAAAGCTCACAAATATAAGACAGTGAGCAAGTAATAGGTGCCCTTAACAGAGGAACAGATATAAATACTTTTAATGATTATTTAATAAAAATAAAGATTAATAAATCCCTCTCTTAATGGGAGAAAATACTTTTAATTGGTAAATAAGGTATATACTGTAGAGTGATAGTGTAGGTAAGCTAGGCTGTGTTCTTGGGCACTGAAGTGTAGAGTGCAAAAATACAAAATAACAGGTCAGACTTATAGCATTTATCACATTACACGTCGACAGCATATGTAGTCTTTTAGTATAGAGAAACTGAGTTTAATACTTGATTATTACCTAGTTAGTGAACGAAGGAACTTACCAAATGCCACTGATTCTGACTCTAAGTGAGACACACAATTTATAAATTGATCAGAGGGCAATTTGCTTCTTGCCTAAGTCACCAAAATTGCTAGTTTTAGCCTTGGTGGGGTGGTATATTTTGAAAAGTTTTCATTAGCCCTGGATGGTGTGGTTCAGTGGTTAGAGTGTCAGCCCAGGCACCAAGAGGGTCTCGGGTTCAATTTCCTGTCAAGAGCACATACCTGGGTTGCAGGTTTCGTCCCTGACCAGTCCGGTTGCGGGAGGCAACCAATTGATATATCTCTCTCACATCAGTGTTTCTCGCTCTCTCTCTTCCCCTTTCCCTTTCTCCCCCTCTCATTCTTTCCTTCCCTCTCCCTTTCTCTCTCTCTAAAATCTATAAAAACATATTTTAAAAAAATAATGAAGTCTTCATGAAAAAGTGATGTATATGCTGAACTTTCAGAATTAATTAAAATTTAGAATTGTTAACACAGAGAGGAAGATTATTCCAAGCAGGTTTCCAAGCAGAGATTGAAAGTTTAATGTGGATACTTAGAACATTTGTTTCTGCTATAGCTTAGGGTACATAGAAAGAAATTGTTGGAAAGGCATGTAGAGACCAGGTCATAGAAAGGCTTTAAGTTGACGCTTGAATAACACAGGTTTCAACTCTACAGGTCCACTTATACACAGATTTTTTAAAATAAATATGTATAATACTATAAATGTAATTTTTCTTATGATTTTCTTAATAACATTTTCCTTTCTCTCTAGCTTTTATTATAAGAATAGGGTATATAATACATGTAATATACAAAACATGTCAATTGGCCCTGGCCGTTTGTTCAGTGGTTAGAGCGTCAGCCTGCGGTCCAGAGAGACCTGGGTTCAGTTCCCGCTAAGGGCATGTACCTCAGTTGCAGTTTGTTCCCGGCCCTGGTTGGGTCATGCGGGTGGCAACCACTCGATGTGTCCCTTTCACGTCGATGTTTCTCTTTCTCTCTCTCCCTTCCTCTCTCTCCTATCTGAACAAAAAATGGAAAAATGTCCTCGGGTGAGGATTAAAAAAAAAAAAAAATGTCAATTGACTATTATTGATAAGGCTCTGGTCAACAGTAGGCTATTAGTAGTTAAGTTTTGGGGGAGTCAAAAGTGGATTTTCAACTGCCGGGAGTTTACGGGGATTGTGCCCCTAACACCTGCATGTTGTAGAGTCAACTGTGATATGTCTTTAATGGCCTTGACTAAGTAAAGGTGTTGTAAGTGTTAAAAAGAAAATAGTGCAACACAGGGTGTTTATTGGGCAGTCTGGGGTATCCCATGTAGTTTGAGTGGGGGCATTCTATTGGTAAATTTACCATAGTCCAGGATCTGACCCTTGATTTCTGTGCTTTCAGAATAATTTGTTATCTTGTCTTGTCTCAGGATGGACTAACTCTGCTCATGGTCACAGAAACTGATGTCTGAATTCATCAGTTTCTATTTCATTAGTTTATGGTACAAATGTAATATAAGTGGAGTTTTCTTTAGTAAGGGCATTTTCTGAATGTACCATAAGAGGAGTCAAAGAATAAGAAGATGTTTAGTGATTATGAAATCAAGTCACAGGGTGTCAGATATATGGCATAAATGTTTAACAGCATCAGCCTGTAATAAGTAAATGAATACATTCATCTC